TCCGAAAAAGTTCAAAACAAAGAGTTTTGACTTGAAGTTTGTCTTGACACACGTTTCATAGTCATGAGGTAATCTTGAAAGTTTCAACCGGAATGAACATGACTTTCTCGAGATATTCAATATCCAAAAACAAAGAAAGCAGAAGTTTACAATATGAGGACAAAGTAATCGAGTTGATTTGGAAATCGAATATCTTGAAGAAGACATGATCGTTTTCGTTGAAAGTTTCAGAACTGTCCAATGACTATGAAAAGTGCCTATATGAAACATTTTAGATTAAAACTTCATTGAAAGATTTTTCTCGAAAAATATAGAACGAAAATATTTGCTTCAAATGAGTAAAATAATCATAACATTGTATTACATTTATACATTTTGAAGTATTCTATTTGTAGATGATAGTTTTAATCTTCCTCTACAAAATTACATATTTCGATAAATCAATTATGTATAGGTTTGTCATAGATATCATCAATTTACTGATAAAATCTCAAACTTTTGAATAACCTATGATTCTTATTTGATCTTTTTTCGATGTTTGAGATAATGTTCTAATTTGTGATAAACGTTTTTCACTAGATGATTGTTCAATTATTTGTTGTATTTCTTTCGAAGTTTTCATTGATTGATCATCAATAAAAATTTTGTCTGTTTCACTAGATTCATATCCGATTTACTAAATTCTTTTTCTATTATATCAGAATATTTATTTATTTGTTGTGTAACATTTTCTCGTTGATCTTGTTTGTTATAATCTTCAATATTTTGTTCTTCAGCAAAATCTAATTCTATAAATAATCATTTTTGATTATCAGACAAATAAGGTAGAAGAAGTTGAGGTCCAAGTATTGAAGCATATGGATAGAATTGTTCAATAACATGTGTTTGATCTTTTTTTATTTCTTGTTGTTTATAAAAATCATCTAGATTAATTAATAATTGAAAAGAATCTTCATCAGTAGATGTTTTCAATTTTGAAGAATCAATTTGAGTTTTTCACTAAAATATTTATATAAAAACTAATTCTAAAAGGAAATAAAAGAAAATGCTTCATTTATTTTTTACAGATAATCTTGTTTATGTTGTTCACTGATGTTTGATTGTAA